ATACAAATTGGTTAAGATATTAAAAAGTTTTATTAGAAGCGTTTTTTTATTTACTATATAAAAATCTAATATATCACGTAGATCATATAAAAAATGATCTATGTACACCCTACCCTTAAAGAGTATACAAGTGGAAAAATTTGAAAGTTATCATTTGTACCAACGTGAGCATGAATGGTATAAAGTTGTCTGAAAACTGTAGGAACTGTTCGAAAAGTACCATCCATAATCAAATAAGGTGCTCGAGATAAATGTTGCATATTGGTTTTGGTGATAAATACAAGGACTCTATCCTGATTAATTTTTAAATCTTTAATCAAGAACAGATCTCCACCCAAGGTTAACTGTAAGGAGGCTGGAACATCAACTTCTTCAAGGATTTGCGGTTGTGATAGCATATCAGCCAATCTGACACACTTGATTTTCATCCGAAGGGTTTCTTTTGTGGTCATATAGGGTGAAAGATTTGTCGGGATAGTAGCAATATTGTTTTGGATTATTTTAGAAGGTGGATCTTGTGAATCATGAGCTTGTCTTTTAATACGGGAAACAACTCGTGTAATTTCATCACTTCCAGCTTGAGGAGCATGATTGTGCTCAGAGAATTTTTTAAGATAATATAATTACTTAAAAAAATCGTAATTGCTCGACCACTACAACAATCTGTTTTTCTTTTTTTACATGATCAGTAATAGGTATTTCTATACACAAGCTCCTTTGTCATTAAGTAACCGTGGATCACTAATTTTGGATTTTCCTTTTGCGATGTAACAAATTGACAAGGTTCATCCATATTGTAGATGAAATACAAGTTGGTATGAATTTAGACAAGTTATGTTTTTTTTTAATTTTTTTTCTTTATTTATAAAATATTTAGAAACAATGACAAACTAGAGATATGAGTGCAATGCTGTAACTGGTTGTAATTTTAATGAATTATGGCAAAAAAATGCCGTAATTCATTAGAATTACGACCAATTATGACATTGTTCTTATACCTCTAGGATAGAAGTTATAGCAAATGATTAAAACATTAAGTAATAATATAAGAAAGTTCAATTAATAAAGAGATATTGAATAAGTTAATATGAACAGAGTAGAACAAAGCTTATCAGTATATATAAATTTCGTTAATTTATGCGTAAAAGTTCTAGTAAACACAAGTTCAAAATTTATCTGTTATTTTTAGTTACTAATAAAATTTTATGTACCAAAATTTGCAGACATATTTACATAACAAGGTCGTAAGTGATACATGACTTCAAATTTGATTGTTTTTGAATTGTTTGATTACTGTGATGTGTCTATAGTTTTAGAGTAATCCTTTGAAAATTCAAGTGAATTATAAAATAATATTGGATAACAATTCTACTAATTAGGCTAAAGCAGAAGAACTTTCCATAATCTACTAATTTAAGACGATGTCCGGTTCCCGCATAATGATGCCTAACAAAACTTACATTATCTGACAAAACTTTATGGTTTTGTCAATTCGTCATTGACAAAAATAGTTTCGTCAAGCATCTATACTCCTATCTCTGTAATAATGAAATATATTTGGCCTATTGCCATCACTTGCAGAAATTTTAATCATCATTAAAAAGATTTTTGAAAAAAATAAGACTTCACTAAAGCAAATGATTAACAACTTATTATATTAAACGTAAAAAGTAAAATAATTTATACATCTGAATAAATGGCTGTAAGAATGGAATATACATATATAGTGTACTATACGGAAGATAATTTAGTATAAAATTTTGTGTATATAGTAAATTAGTACAGTACGGTAATATAAATCAGTACGTACAGTTATTAAAAAAAGAAAAAAAATATATACTTAGACATACAATTACATATTTAATGCATGATCGATATTTCAATTCAAATATTTGACTTAAATATTTGAGGGTATGACTAATTTTTCTTTATAGTGACAATTTAGCTTTTTTATTCGATTGTTGTAAAAAATATGGATAATATATTCTATGTCGAAGAATTTTAATTTGGTTAAGTAAATGCTGAATTCAAGTAAATATTTAAGTTTTTTTAAAATAATAATATGAGCTTGTTTTATAATGATAAATTAATTATCAGAAATCAGAAACTGAATAATTAGTAAAGAAATCAATTAAGAAATTCTAAAACTAACATATGAGACAATAAATTGCACCAAATAGAAAAGGTAAATATTTTAAAATTATTTTTTTTAAAAATATATAATATAATTATCGATTTTGTAATTCGATAGATTTTGCGTCTTAGCAACATCTTTTCTAAGGTTCGATAGAAAATTTTTTCTTTTAATTCGAAGTCTAACAATAAATCATTTTTACGTAGATTCAATTTCTTTACACCAATCGCATTTTAAAAACTAGTTTTACGACATAATCTTTTATTATCATTGTTGATAATGGAAATCTTTCTTTCGTGTACATTAGCATTAAACAACCCTAGCATTCCCCGAAAAAATGTATTAATTGGAAATCTCCAAAATTCATTTATATTAAGGTTTGTGTTTGTATTAGGGCTTTGAGAGTAAAGAAGCTGTAGTAAAGTTGTACAAGGAATATTTTTTGTTAGAGCACAAAAGGTGGTTTCTTATGCTAATTTTTGAGAAATAAGCGTTTTGAACCTTCCTGATCGTACTACGTTACATTAAATCGTGATCAGCTATTGGTCTATTGTCACATGTCATACATTTTTCGGGGGAATGCTAGGGTTGTTATTAGCATTAATGAATTTACATTCTATTGCTAAATAAAAAAATTTGGTTTCGTGAATTTTTTTGACTTGGCACTTAATTTTAATATGCTTGAATTTGTTTGCACGACAAATACTAATACTGTGATTTAAATTAATGTTTATGTTTTTATTATATGTTTATTATAAAGAAAACTGAATATTAATATGCGGGTGACACCAAGAGAAAATCAGGAATCGGGTTTGCAAATTTATAATTAAACGTCTTAATTATACATGTTTTTCAAGGATTGAATCCGGTGTTTAAGAACAAAGTTTGGTTTTTTCTTGATGCCACTCATGTATTAAAGAAAAAGCTTCGAATTTACTAAAATATTCGTACGAGAAATTTTATTTTGTTTTAACGTACGCACGTACTACAAAATTTTGCTCAATTTTCGTACGTACGCACGTACGTACGTACGTCCGTATGCATTTGTAAAAACGTACTGTACTACTTTACTAAATACCTGCAATGCAGTAATGCGCATAACTGATAATTAGTCGTACAATCGCTACTATCTTCACTTGTTCGGTTCAGATTTTCAAAAAAGAAAATTGGATCAGCACAAAATATCTAAAATAACAATAGTACAGTACAGTACATTTGCTGAAAGAAAGTTTCTTTCACGTTATTATGAGTTGGGACTTATATTAGCGAACCAGCAATTTAAACGAAACCAATTACCAATAAATATGGCTCTGAATAAAATAATGTTTAACGATATATTCACAAAATCAAATTATTTAGTTGATTTTATTTCTCAAGATTATTCAGTAAAAGAGAAAAGCAAAAAACTTTTTCCGATAATTTGTGTTCTCCTCCTAATAACCTATTTTCTTCCTTCCCTTGTCAATATTCTTTTAGTAGTTAGTGCTCTTCTTCCAATAGTTTACATTTTCCCTATATTCTTTTTTGTTATTCTTCTTGTCTGTGTTTACTCTCCTTTTCGTGTTGCATATGTTCTGTTTCCGGCAACCTGCATTCTTTTTCTAATTGTCCGCATTCTGGAAAAAGGACGTGGGAATCAGGAAAAAGAACGTAGGTGCATTAAATGCGCTGAATTTGTTAATATTAAGGCACTTTTATATTTTACCGATCAGTGTAATCACAATAATATATGTCGTATGTGTATCAGAGATTATATTGAGAGTGAGCTTGACCAAAATAATGTTAAAATTTTATGCCCTGAAAACGGATGTCGCAAAGTGTTAAATGAGAATGATGTAAAAAGAATTGCAAGTGAAAGAATATTTAGACGGTATATTTATAAAAACATATACGAATAAGTATTTATTGTCATTAAAAAATACTAATTTTTCTATATTACTTTTACAGTTATGAAGCACTCGCGTTAGATTTCGCACTATCTCAAATTTCTACCTTCAAATGGTGCTTAAATCCAACTTGTAGATCAGGACAAGATCATTATCAAGGAGGTAAATTACGTGAATTACCGGTATACGCTACAGTATTATATTAAATTTGTTATTAAATTTATTATATTAATTATTTATTTATCATATTTATTATGATAATTATCATAATTATTATATTTATTATATTAATTATTTTACTTATCATCTAAAAAAAGATGATGTTCCGATAATGATTTGTAATTTATGCGGACAAAAATCTTGTATCATACATGAACTTCTAATTGAAACTGAATGTGAGAAATGTCAAGAACAAATTAGATCCGTATTACAAGAAGAAAGAAAGGAATGCATTATATGTACCGAGAGTGTTAATATCATAGCCTTTTTAAATATTACAGACCAGTGTAGTCATGATCGTAGAATATGTCGTGAATGTGTAGGTGAATATATTAAGCATGAACTTGAAGATAATGGAAAACTTAGAATTTCTTGTCCAGAAGATAATTGTAATGAAATATTAAATCAGAAAGATGTGAAAGAATTTGCAAGTGATGATGTATTTAAACGGTATACTTATTGAAGCATATGTCAATTTAGTCTTTATTTTTCATTTCAAATAATAATATTTTTATTTCATTATCACAGATATGAAAAATTTATGCTAAATTTTGCATTATCTCAAATTCCTACCTTTCAATGGTGCCTAAATCCAAATTGCGGATCAGGGCAGGACCATTATCAAGGAGGTAAATTATATTAAGCTTCTAATTCATCTTTCTTACTGATATCATTACAATTTTCCCTATTTTAAATCTATTTTCTTTAAAGAAAATGTTCCTATAATGATTTGTGATTCATGCGGTCAAAAGTCCTGTGTTGTGCATGGACATCCAATCGAAACTGTGTGCGAAGAATGTAGGCAACATGATGAAGAAGAGTATACACGACAAGAGGAATGTCGACGACAAGAAGAGGAGGAACGTAGACGACAAGAGGAGGAAGAACGTAGACGACAAGAGGAGGAGCTCAGGCGAAGAGAGGAAGAAGAACGCAGAAGACGAGAAGAAGAGCGTAGGTTAGCAACACTTCGAACTGCCGAGACTGCTTCTGAATCCTACGTGGGTCAACTTAAACAATGCCCAAAATGTGCGAGTAGAATTGAAAAAAATCACGGATGTGACCATATGACATGTAGATGTGGTCATCAATTTTGCTGGGTGTGAGTAGGATATTTTGATCTTTTTGCGCATTGTATCTTATAACGATTCTAATAACACTAACAATGAAATTAATTTTTTATCAGTTGCATGGTTGATTGGGATACACCACATAATGCCGATTGTGCATTTTATGTAGGAACTTAACTCTACGATTTATTTTTCAATAGTGAAATTTAGAACAATGGTAGATTATTATATTATAACTTTTGTTACTAATATTAGCGAATTATCGCAGTATTAATATTTTTAACATTAAAACAATGTAACGAATGAATATATAACATTTATTCAAGTTATTATTTAATTATTGTAACAGATTAAAATGAAATCAGATTAAAATGAAATTTTTCTATTTTTTAAAATTTTTTAGGGGACATTTTTTGGGTTTTTTTAGCATTAGGGTTATGGTTTAGTGTTAGGGTTATTAATAAATGAGTATTTGTGGGTTTTATAAGCTTTAAAGGTGAGCAAGAGAGGTCTCCTGTTTCATTTTAATCTAGTTTTATTTTAATCTGTGACAATTATGGATTTATGATAATTTTACATGGCATCAATTGTCTTTTACCAGCTAGTATGTACAGTAAGTTTATCCTAGATGTGAGAGTATGGCGTGACAAGGATTTAGGCTAATCTACACTACTTTAAACCAGTAACGATTATTGGTGATAATAACGTCAACAATCTTCATTACTTCGGGTTGCTAAATAATATGGTGGATTTTTTCAATAATTTCGGGTTATATTTATACAATTTAATATAGTAATGTTCTACAAACATTTATACAATGGCAAAATCTGTCTTTATTAAACTGTTTTTACAGAAATGAAAATCTATACCGTATAGAGCTGCACATAGTACCCCTGGAATAGTATCCCCCATTTTTTGATAAGCGATTTGTGACCCGATTTCATAATTAAAAGCACGCTCATTTCATTTGGTTTGATGCGTCTAATAACAAGGTATACATTGACCATTAACGATAATTTGTATTATCCTCTGATCTCTCAATATTTGGGGGTATTATTCAATCTAGGCTGGCTTTCTTGAATAGTACCCGGCGTGCTATATGCAGCGCTATACGGTACTGTCCGTAGAATGCTTATAATTCTATATATGCTCTATACGTAATTCATCTATGTATTAAAACACAAATGTCCAAATGTCAGTTGCATCTGCCAATCAATTAATTTTTGTTTATCGTTCATTATAACACTTGATATAAGTTATTTTTAGAGATGTTAAAATGCTTGTATGAAACCTGCTCAAGCAGGTTTGAAGCACAAACTTTTACAGTTTGCTTATAAATT